TTCTTATTGCTTGGCGGCATGAAGGACTCCAGCTGGTATAAATCACACGAGTCAAATGGGGGTTTCCAAAATAGGGGGTACCTTGTTGGGGTCCTTACTGTAAGGGATCCTACTATTCGGGGGTCTATATTGGGGGTCCCCTACTTTCGTAAACCCCCCAAATTGACATGCGACATGCCAAGCGAATGTGACCCACGTCTGGTGGCTGCCGGGAAATCCGCCAAACATCGTGCGAGTCACAGGGCACGTCCCACACTCACATGGACTGTCGGCGGCCGATTTAAGCATGCTTTTCACCACCTTGAAAACTAAATGAGCCCTAAAAGGGTTTATGTTTCATATACCAGGGTATATGACCCCAATCGTTGCATTCTGAGGGTTGAGAAATCGAAGAGAACACAGAGGAAATTTCGTGGAGACTTCGTACACCCTAAGCCTTAAACCCTAAATCCTAAATCCTAAGCCCCGTACCGTGGTTTCGGGGGGCACGCCAGCCATGGCGCCATTTGCCGCGCTGAGGGGAGAGGACCGGAACAGGGGAGTTCTCGAGGTTCCGAGGCTTACGCTCCGCCCCTAAACCCAAAATCCTACACCCTACACCCTAAACCCTAAATCCTAAACCCTAAACCCTAAACCCTAAATCCTAAACCCTAACCCTAAACCCTAAACCCTAAACCCTCAACCCTCAACCCTCAACCCTCAACCCTAAACCCTAAACCCTAAATCCTAAACCCTTACCACAAACCCTAAACCCTAAACCCTAAACTAGGAGCCCGAGAGGGCTTGTCCAGAGCCTTGAGGCAGCATACAGCCCGGCCTTGACTATTTCCCTGCTGCTATAGAGCTCTGTGACTGTTGTTTTTGAAGGGGGGGGGGGGAGTGCAGGGCGACATGTAGAAGGGTCCGCAGGTTGTAGGATGTCTTGCGCAGATGACAGAATAACACCAGCTCCCGTGTTGTGTGCGGGTGGTGGCTGGGGCCTTCCTTGGGGACTAAATGGACCGTAGAAGGGTTTGTGGTTCATATTCCCTCAGTAGTAGTTATAGTAGTCAGGGTATATGACCCAAATTTTAGGGTTCACTTGGCCCCCAAGGTTGATGTCTTGGCGTGCTTGCATCACTGACGCTTGCGCTAACCCATGCGACAGGGGTTGTAGACGGTTGCAGGACGTCCACTTGCGACCTCCCACCATAGACTCTTTGCTTAAGGACCCCCCAAAAAGGCGCAAGACAACAATCCCTATACCCCCCTTTGAAGGAAAGCATAGTTTCCTTTTCTGGGGGGGATTCTTAAACAAACAGGTTACTCAAAGATCTTGGGGGCTTGCACGTCAAAGTCACGGGCTCGACCCATTTGGGGAATGAGGGATGGCTCGAGAATATTGTGGCAGGCTTGGGCACCGCATTTCCTCACGCGCCACAAAGACGCAGGACCTTCTTCGGCCTTCTCACACTCGAACCCTGCGCAGGACCGGGTTCAGAATGCACTCAAACATGATACGTCTCTCCCGCAGAGCTGTTGATGATGGTATACTGTTGCAGCTCACACTCCCTAAACCCTAAACCCCTAAACCCCTAAACCCCTAAACCCTGTCTCTGCACTAAGCGAGAGTCTGGAATCGTTGCGCCTTCTGTGGCTCGCGTGAGGGTCTAAGAGAGGCGCTTCTTACCAGGATGGGCCAATAAGCGCCATATTATGCCCTCAAGAAGGCTCATGGGTTATTCCACCCTATAACCCCTTAAATAAGGTAGCTGTTATGCCCTTAAACTTGCTCTCTCATGGGCTATTTCACCCTTAATCCCTTTTAAAAGTAGATGCGCTCTTATCCCAGGGTTACATGGGGATTGCAGCACAGCATACCGTCTTATACCCGTAAATCTGGCCCTTTCATGGGTTATACTATGCGCCCTGTAACCCCTCAAAAATAAAGCTCGCATCCTTGGGTCGATGATCCCTAAACCCTAAACCCTAAACCCTAAACCCTAAACCCTAAACCCTAAACCCTAAGTCCCCTAAGTAGGGTTCATGAACTGGGGAAGAAGTATGGAAGGCCGAAGAAAGCCCATCCTGGCATCATGGCTTCGGCTTAGTTCCGCCGGCTCATGGGCTCGGTACCGCAAGGGATTAAGGGTTGTAGGGTTTAGGGTTTAGGGTTTGGGGTTTAGGGTTTGGGGTTTAGGGTTTGGGGTTTAGGGTTTAGGGTTTAGGGTTTAGGGTGGTGGGGGGGGGGGGGGGGGGGGGGGGGGGGGGGGGGCAGGATGGCAATTTGTGAGTCTCACCTGTCAGAGACAGGCTCTATGCCTGGACAGCCGAGCTTCCTGAAAGGCCAGCCCCTGGTTGCAAATTGTAGCCATAAACATATGGGGGTTTAGGGTTTAGGGTTTAGGGTTCAGGGTTTAGAGGGTTTAGGGTTTAGGACCAGTTATGAACCCTAAACTGGGGGCATGTGCCCTATACTACTATACATCTTCTTAAAGTATATTAACCAGAAGATGCCCTATACTACGATAACCTCTTTTATGGTATATGAAACAGGTTTGTATTACACATAAGGCTCCTTTTCAATATTGGTGAGTGTAGATATTGGGAGTCCTTTTGGGGATGCAAGGAAAGTAAACCCTACTTCATATGTTTACACTTGGTACATGCTTGTGTGTCTTTCTATCTTTGTCTTGTTATAGTTGTTTGGCTGCCGCAAGCACATGAAACTAGCAGGCCTGGGATCACCTTGGGGACCAAACGAACCCTAAGATTGGGGGTCATCGACCCTGTACTACTGTAGCCCCTATGAAGGTAGGATGAGCCCGAAGCTCTTTTAGGGTTCATGTGCTCCCCAAAGCGGGTAGAACATCAGGCGACCGGCGTTGACAACACAAGGAAACCCTAAACCCTAAACCCTAAACCCTAAACCCTAAACCCTAAACCCTAAACCCTAAACCCTAAACCCTAAACCCGCTGATCACTTGTTGAGGTGTTAGCAGCGGCAGCAAATCAGCCAGGCTGGGGAGATCCCGATGCCGAATTTAATTAGTGAATCAGTTGGGTTTAGGGCTTAGGGCTTAGGGTTTAGGGCTTAGGGTTTAGGGTTTAGGGTTTAGGGCTAAATGAAAGAGAGCGTCCGTGCCAGGCCGGCGAAGCCGATCATTAGCAAGTCCAGCGGCGAGCCGCCCCTGCCAGTGAGGCAGTTGCAGGTTTAGGGTTTAGGGTTTAGGTAGGGTTTAGGGTTTAGGGTTTAGGGTTTAGGGTTTAGGGTTTAGGGTTTAGGGTTTAGGGTTTAGGGTTTAGGGTTTGCTGTGACAGGGCGTAGATGTTGTGAAGGTTAGGTTTCGGAACAAGCTCTAAAGCTTCGTGAGGTGCGCCCTGGTGCTTGGGCACGCTGCGGTGCGGAGTCCGGGACCCCTAGGCTAGAGGGGCCCTGGGGGTACCCCCTGAAAGGTCAGGGGCCCCGCCGGGAGGGTTCAGGGTTCTTACTTTATTATAAGGGACCAGTACTGGTCCCGAGAAGAACGTGTTCCGGTACCGGCGTGGCCGCTACCGACCCCCATGCCGGGGGAGGCGGGCGAGCGCTGGGTCGGCTTGTGCCATCGAGGACAAGGGCTTAAGCGCCGTCCCCCAACGTAGGGGGCGGCCTCGGCCCTGAGTTTTTGGTTTTAGGGGTGGGCCTGGTCACCCGAATAAATGGGATGGGACCTCATGCGCTTTCTGGCAGCCATGCTCGAGTCAGGTCTTGGGCAAGGCCCCCGCTGAGTTTTGGGCGCTGCGCGAGCTGTCCCCCCCCCGCCCCCAATTTCTGGGGGAGGTTTAAACCCTAAACCCTATATACCCTACCCTGTATACCCTATATACTCGATAAACACTATAAACCCTAAACTCTAAGCTTCACCACCCGTCCGGCTTGATGCCTTATATTAGGCCGGGTCCTTCACTGACTGCCAAGGACGCACCACGGCCCACGCTAGCATTCATCGAGAGATTGAAAACCCGCATTTTTCGTAGCTCACTGCTGCAACTTCTGCCCTAACCCTAATCCCGAAACCCTATAAACCCGATAAGCCCTATAAGCCCGACAAACCCTATAAAGCCTATAAACCCTACAGACCCTAAACCCTGGAACAAGCTGGCAGGCTGACAATACCCAAGATCGAGGCCAGGCACACGGAGAGTAGCTTCGCACATCGACAGTGCCCAGTTAAGACATGTGAAATCGATGCAGCGTGGCACGGGCTCCTGACCCCAAAAATATCCGAACATATGATGTTCCGAACTATCGGAACGCCAAAGGCCATTTTTTTGTGGTGCCCTGAACGCTAAACCCCCCATAAACACCAAACCCCACAGCTAATTAAGGCTCTCCCAACCCGAAACCTTCAAGACTCCCCCAAACCTTATCAGCTCCCCCGGAAGGTGTTGGGTTAGGGTGCCCTCTAAACCCCAAAGCCTGAGCCCTTTAAACCCTAAACCCCCCAACCCTATATGTCCAAAACCCCCAAAACCCCCAACTCTACAGACCCTATACGCCCAGCCCCATAAGCCCTGCAAGGCCTATACTATAACCCAAACCTATAAACCCTATAAATTCTAGAAACCCAAATCCTTTAAATCCTAAACCCTTACCCCAAACCCCAAACCCTAAATAAACCCCAATCCCCAAACCCTAAACCCCAAACCCCAATCCCCAAACCCTAAACCCCAAACCCCAAACCCGAAACCCGAAACCCCAAACCCCAAACCCCAAACCCCAACCCTAAACCCCAAACCCCAAACCCCAAACCCCAAACCCCAAACCCCAAACCCTAAACCCTAAACCCTAAACCCTAAACCCTCGCCCTAAACCCTAAACCTTCAACCCTAGCCCTACACTCTAAACCCCCAAGCCGCCCCCTCTGGCCTCAGGCCGAGTCTGGCTTTCTCGGGAAGCACTCGGTCTTCGTGGTCGAGGCGGGGGTCGGCTCCTGGTGCTTTCCTTTGGGGTTTAGGGTTTAGGGTTCGGGTTTAGGGTTTAGGGCTTAGGGTTTTAGGGTTTAGGGTTTCGGGTTTAGGGTTTAGGGTTCAGGGTCCCTTTACAAGCCCTCTTAAACCGAAAAGCGCACCCTCTCTTTATCCTGGGTTAGTCTTGGGGATAGTTCTTAATTGAGAACACCTTCTACGCGGCAGCCTGAAGTAGCCTGCAGCCTGAAGCTTGTGCTCAGCAAACGTTCTGTTCTCAGGCTGATGACCCTAAAACCGATAACCCTAAACCTAAAACCCTAAGTGCACTACACCCTAAACCCGAAACCCTACACCCTATAAACCCTACATAAGCCCTAAACCCTAAGCCCTGACCCTAGTGGTGGCAAGGCCGTGGCCTTTGGCCTGCAGAGCAGCACGAAGCACCCCTTTGAGGCCGAGCAAATGGACCTGCTGCAACCCGGGTATGGGGTTGATATGGGGCTTATAGAGGGTTTATATCGGGGTTTATAGTTTTTTCCCCACCTTCGGTGTGGCGTTGTTAGATTTTAAACTCAACTCTTCTCCTCGCCCGGAACTCTTCTCCTCGCCCGGAACTCTTCTCCTCCCCCGGTCTACTCCTACAGCCTCCCAGGAGTGCCCAACCCCAGAGACTCCTAGACTCCCTGGAGTGCCCAACCAGAGACCCCTGGACTGCCCAAGCCCAGGCTCTCCCTGGATTGCCCAACCCAGAGTCTCCCAATGCCCCACCCCTGGAGTGCCCAACCCTTCTCCCTGGAGTGCCCAACCCCAGAGTCTCCCTGGAGTGCCCAACCCCAATTGCAAGCAAAACGAAGAAAGCGTATTTGAATCAATGTGTCTTTGTTTGAACATCCTATTTGCGCTCTTTCCTTTTGGCGAGGAGCAAGGTGGGGATGTTCGAAGTAAAAATATTTTTTTAAAGGGTGTGTATAGGGTTCATGTAGGGTTTAGAAAGGGTTTTCTGTAGGGATCTATAGGGTTATATAGGGCTGCAGGTTTGTACCATATGTAACACAGGGAGGGTGAATCCAGACCCATACGCAGGACTTCGAGACCCTCCATGCGGAGATTTCCAAGAAGGTGCTCTCCTAGGAGCAGCCCTACTTGAAGGTTCATGGTACTTACTAACCACTTGATAATTGGGATAACCCCTATAAGGCCCTTTAGGGGTATTATAAGTAGGGTTATAAGTACAGTTATAATTGGTTAGTAAGTACCATGAACCTTCAAGTAGACTCTTCTACTTGTTCTACTTGGAGCTTCAGGGCACTTAAAAACCCCAATCATACCTGCGCTTAGGTGATAAGTAGACTGACCCCAATGACAACCGCGCTTAAGTGGGTTGCCCAATTATAGTTGCGCCGAAGTAGGTTACAAGTAGATGCAGACTTGAAGTTTCAAGTCTCCATGAACCTCCAAGTAGGCCATTACAAGGACACGCGGCCAAGTTCGAAGCATTTGTTGCGTGACTTCCCAAGGGAGCCCAAGACTCCTTAATTAAGGAATATACCTTACATTATTATCAAGGGATCCTGAACATAAATTTAAGGAATATTCCTTAATTAAGGAATATACCAGGGATCCTTAATATGATTTAAGGAATATTCCTCAATTGATAAATTAAGGGGTGTTGGGCTCTTTGGGTCTTGGCTTTAATTCTTGGCACCGCCGCACCGCGGCTCAGCAACAAAGAGAAGATCGTCCTGCAGCCGCTGGTGCGCGGACATGTGCCTCACCTTGCAGTTTGGGGCAATGCACCCTCTGCTGACCCGTGACGCCATATAACTACAAGAGAAGACCCTAAACCCTAAACCCTAAACCCTAAAGTTTCTTTCAGGTCCTCCTCCTCCTCCTCGTCCTCTGCCTTTTTGGGCGCTGTGGCTGTGGGCGCCGCAGCCGGTGCCCTTGCAGGCCGCGCACGCGGGCGCGACGCGCCCGAGCTTTTGTTGTGGGATCTCTCTGCTGCACTACTACTTGCTTAAGAACCCCCACAAAAAGACAATTAAAATGTTCTCCCTTACAAGGGGAATATTGGGATTATGTTTGTGTAATTCTTTGGGGTTCTTGAGCAAACCCGAAAGTCAACCCGAACCAAACGCAAATAGTAGTAGTGCAGGCGTTGGCCTCACGCTGGCACTGCGACGGCCGGCAGCACCGCGGCCTCGCCCAGGCATCAAGGCTTCCGCGCAGGCCAGCTGAGTTTGGAGTTTGGGCTTTGAGGTTTGGGGTTTGGGGTTTAGGGTTTAGGGTTTAGGGCATTCCCCCCGTGCATTTCCTTGGGCACTAAATGAACGCTACAAGGGTTCACGGTTCATATACCTGAATAGGATTCATAGTAGTCAGTGTATATGACCCCAATATTGGGGGTTCATTTGGTCCCCCAAGGTTTTCCTTATGTTATGGAGCCCGTCAGATCCCTCCGTCGTCCAAAAGTGGGCATGCTCAGGTAGCCGACAAGCTGAAGCAGGCTCTCGTGGTGCCAGTGGTCGCAATGCAGGACCCTAAACCCTAAACCCTAAACCCCAAACCCTAAACCCTAAACCCGAAACCGCTGCAGCGGCAGTCGCACTGTATATAATGACGTGGAGCGTTTCATTGCTTTCGCCTTTGGCAAGGGGTGTTTGCTTTCTCGCGTTATCTTAGGGTTCATGTAGTCCCCAGCCCAAGGAATCTGGCCCCTGCCAGCCTTTCCCCTTGAGGACGCCTCCGGCGCTCCGGCGTGACTTGAATCAAGTACATGGCCCAAGTACATGGCCCGAGCCACTCTTGTGTAAAAGCCAGGGTAGCTTGGCCCCCCCCTGCCAAGGCTGTGGATGCTTGGAGTCTCTCTCTTCCTTCTCTCTCCTTCTCTCTCCCTCGCTCTCCCTGAGGTCCCTAAACCCTAAACCCTAAACCCTAAACCCCCGAAACCCTACAAACCCGATGAACAAACCCTAAACCCCAGAAACCCTAAACCCCAGAAACCCTAAACCCTAAACCCTAAACCCTAAACCCTAAACCCTATCAAGCCAAGGCTTGCCGCGGCTTTGATGGAGGGTGGACTCACAGCCATCGAGGCACCGCCTCCCCAAACTGGCACAGCACCAGCTTAGGAAGCCTAGGAGGCTTAGGAAGCTAGGAAGTTTAGGGCGTGTAGGGTTTAGGGCGTTTAGGGTTTAGGGTTTAGGGTTTAGGGTTTAGGGTTTAGGGTTTAGGGTTTAGGGTTTAGAGGGGTTCAGAAGTTTTGGGGCGAACAGGGTTTGCAGAGTTTTATTGAGTTTTGGTAGGGTTTGCAGGGTTTAGTCGGGTCATCAGAACTTAGAACATTCATTGCCCCTTCAGGTGGTCTTCCGGACCGCAGCGGCCGAGGACCTCAGCATACGATGTTGGCATATCGATGTCTCGGTCTCCAAGCCCTGAACCCTAAACCGTAAACCCAAAACCCTAAACCCTAAACCCTAAACCCTAAACCGCTCCTTTCGCTAAACTCCAGTAACCTGCTAAGCCAAGACGCCTCAAGAGAGAACCAGGGGCCAGGCAAAGGTGGCCTCCCTAAGGCCCTAAACCCCCTAAACCGCATATCCAAAACCCATACCCCCTTAACCCATACAAGAAGAATATAAGGATTCTTGCCATACCCCTTTATTTCTTTTAAGGGTGTGCGCCCAATTAAGGGGTATCTTGAACATTTCATGGGAATCTTTGATCCTTAAAACCCCCTACACCCTCAAACCCCAAACCCCAAACCCCAAACCCCAAACCCGAAACCCTATACCCCAAAACCCGAAACCCTAAACCCTAAACCCTAAACCCCAAACCCTAAACCCTAAACCCTACTCTCTTTCCTTGATCCTTTGTAAAGCGCACCCGGGCCGGAGGAGGCGCTGCGGCGGATGGCTGCCGCGGAGCCCAGCGCCTTGGAATCTCGGATCTGAAATTATGGGGACTGCAGGGTTTAGGGTTTAGGGTTTGGGGTTTGGGGTTTGGGGTTTGGGGTTTGGGGTTTAGGGTTTAGGGTTTGGGGTTTGGGGTTTGGGGTTCGGGGTTTGGGGATGTTTAGAGGTTGGGGATCTTTATGGTTTGGAGATGTTTAGGGGTTTAGGGATGTTTAGGATTTTGTGTTTAGGGCGGTTGCAGGTGTTTAGGGTTTCTGGTGAGTTTTCGGAGCCCCCTGAGAAGGCAGGAGGCCAGGGCCTGAGGCATGGCTACCAACTACCCACCAGTTGGCAGTTGCTCCTCACTCACTCACTCACTCCTAATTAGCCCTAGAAGCCCTAGCCGAGGGGTGCGAACGAAGGAAGACTACCGAAACCGAGAGCGCGCACCAGCTAGGAAGATCGCTGGGCCAGCCTCTTGCTTCGCTGATTCACGCTTCCCTTGATGCGCCCTCAAAGAACGTGGAAGAACAGGACTCCACGATGCAATCTTCGGAAAATGAGCATGCCGACCAGTCGTAGACATTCAGAAATGCTTGGGAGTGAGGACGTCGGATTTGGAAGGATCCCGAACAAAGCTTGGCCCTCAGCCCTAAACCCTAAACCCTATAAACCCTAAACCCTAAACCCTGCAAAATGAAGCAATTCGAGGTGGGTGCCGGCACGGTTCTGTCTGCAGAACAGGCCAAAAGAGCTGCTCGACTGCTCACGTGGAGGTTAGGATTTAGGGTTTGGGGTTTACGGTTCAGGGTTTAGGGTGAGTTCGGATCGGAGTCCTCGACCCTGCCCTAACCCCTGCGAAGAGGCCCTGACACCCTAAACCCTGTAAGCCCTAAGCCCTAAACCCTAAACCCTAAACCCTAAACCCTAAACCCTTTCATCCGCTGAGGCCGTCAGCGCCGGAGCCCAGTTCATTGTCTCTCCGGGGCTGAACCCAGAGGCCGTTAGGGTCTAAGATTTTGGGTTTAGGGTGTAGTATAGGGTAGTTATTGGGTTTAGGGTAGGGTAGTTATTGGGTTTAGGGTTTAGGGTTTAGGGTTTAGGGTTTTAGGGTTTTAGGGTTTAGGGTTTAGGGTTTAGGGCTAGGCACCATTAAGAGCCAGTAGGGTTATTGGGTTTGGGGTTTATCGGGTTCAGGGTTGTAGGGTTTAAGGGTGTAGGGTTATAGGCTTTCTGGGTTTAGGGTTGTAGGGTGGTAGGGTGGTAGGGTTGTAGGGCTAGGGGTGGGATGGCTAAATTGCCATAATAGGGCTGTACAACTCAACAAAACAGTACATGCCGCGCCCTTGTGGTGGCAACTGAGTGTCATTATCGGGTTCGTGCTTTTGTTGGAACTTGAGTTGAAGTTGGTGGTGACTTTCTGATCTTAACAAGAATCTAGAAAGAGTCAATGCATGTGGTTCGATCTATAGGAGGGCCTCAACTGACCAGTTCGGGAATCAGGAGTTAGGTAGCTTCTGTCCCCCTGCTGCAAACCTTTGAGGGATGAAATAAAAGTACTGCAAGGGTACCTAACTCCCGAATTCCTTACAAAGAGCGGCAGAAGTTCTCCCGGCAACGGAGCCTCTGGATTTTGCAGGTCGTAAACTGGTGTCTGGAAAACGGCGTTGCCGTCATCCCGGGCGTGGCCACACCGACCGAGGCGACTGCACGATTTGTACCCACCTGAGCCCCGAATCACCCCCGAAACCCTTCAACCCTAAACCCTAACCTCGAAACCCTAAACCCTAAACCCTGCTCATGCTCGCCAAGAAAGGAGGGTGTAGCAGTGCGGCATAGTAAGCAGTAGGGGAGGCGAAGAGCCAATTTTCTTGTTGGTAACCTCCATGCCTGTGTCGAAAGCAGGCTAAGAGTAGGATAGAATAAAGAGGCCAAAGTCCTTTAACCCCGACATAATTATAGTCCTGATAAAGCTATAAACTGTTAATTCCACAAACCTGCCCCATTTTATGGTGTCGTCCCCAAAGGTTGAAAGTGCCATGCGCATGGGCCTCTCCGTGCTGAAGTTCTTCCCAGCTGAGGTGCGCAAAGCGTTGAGCGACCACATGCGCGTGAAAGAGCCATCAGAAAGGGCGCCTAGGAGCGCAAAGCTTCAGCGCGCATTGCATTGCTGAAACAGGGAGAGCCATTCGTGCGAGTAGGAGCTCCGTGAGCGGAGATATCAGTGAGATGATCAGTGAATTTTCCCTAAATCCTAAACCGTAAACCCTAAACCCTGAACCCTGAACCCTGAATCTTAAACCCCCTAAACACCCTAAACACCCTAGACACCCTAGACACCCTAAACCCTAAACCTTGGCTGCAAGCGACGGAAATTCGCCTGCAGGCCAATGGCGGGGTGAACACCCTCAAGGCCATCTCGGCTCCGTATGGGCAGATCACCTGGATGCCCACAGGCGCCTTAAGGGTTTAGGGTTCAGGTTTTATAGGGTTTATAAGCTTTAGGGCTTGTAGGGTTTGTAGGGTTTGTAGGGTTTGTAGGGTTTGTAGGGTTTAGGGTTGATAGGGTTTAGGGTTTTAGGGTAGAACCTCACAAGAGCGAGCCCTTTTGCAAGATGCACTCCTGTAAGGCCCTTATACTACGTGGCTTGTTACCGGTTATCAGCTTCCCCTTGGTGTTAAAGTCATACTTTGGGATGTTCCCCCTTGTAACTAACAGTCCTTAGTGGGGATTATAGTAGCCCCTTTTACAATCCCTAATTCTGAAGGACTGACTGTCAGTACAAGGGGGAACATCCCACTGTCATACTTTTACCGCCAGGCGGCATCTCCGAAGACAACCTTGAGCAACTTGAGCCACATTTGTGGAGGGGGGGGGGGTTGGGGCACTGCTACTGTAGCCCTCCGCGAGCAGCACCCCTTAGGCAGAGTTTAGGGTTTAGGGTTTAGGGTTTAGGGCTTAGGGTTCCGGGTTTAGGGTTTCCGTGAGATCTCCTGAGGAAGTACTTGATGATGCCGCAAGTGGCATGCTGCGGTGGCTCCTGGATGGTTCCTCAGGACGCCTTCTTGCGTTTAGGGTTTAGGGTTTCGGGTTTAGGGTTTAGGGTTTAGGGTTAGAACGTTCAACAGGAGCATATGCTTCGTGACCGTCCTGCTGTGGCAAAATAGAGCAAGTTGCCGGGACCTGCGACTCTATGTACCTATACAGTTTAGTATTAACTGCCCTATATTTAGTAATTTAGTAACCCTAAACCCTAAACCCCAGACAAAATGTAAAACTAGTGGTAACTACCCCCATATTTAGTAGGTATGAACCCCCAGAAAACTGCAGGTAAAGAAGGTTCCAAGGCCGGCCTGAAACCCGAACCCCTAAACCCTAAACCCTGAACCCTGAACCCTGAACCCTGAACCCTAGAAACCCTAAACCCTAAACCAAACAACCACCAGGATGCTGTCGCCCAGGGGAACTGGCGGTACGTGAAGGAGTTGTCCCAGCGGGCAGCCTGCCTCAACGGTCAGTCTAACTTGCGATGGTCTCGATGTGGACTCGCGGTTCTATGGCCCTAGAGTCCGAGTCCTCCACAAACTCCAGGAATAAGACCCACACCACCCCCTCTTAAAGCCCTAAACCTGAACACCATAGCTTCAGATAAACTCGGTGAGCCTTCGTGAACCCCATATGCCCCAAAACCCTGCGCTTACGGTGAGACCCCGACACCCTCAGAGTGAGCCGCGACCTCGCACGATCCCTAAACCCTAAACCCCAAACCCCAAACCCTAAACCCTAAACTCTAAACCCTAAACCCATAAACCCTAAACCCTAAACCCACCCCCAGGCGCGTCAGCTCGCCCAGTCCATCGCGTTGAAGAAGCGGAAATGACGGTGCTGCGCAGACGCCATGGCCATCTTGAGGGTTGTTTATGGCGTTCCTTACGGGGTTTAGGGTTTAGGGTTTAGGGTTTTTTGGGGTTTAGGGTTTAGGGTTTAGGGTTTAGTCCGAGGAAGTTTCAGGTGTACGGTCGGCAGGTGTTCCGTCTTCGTAAGATAGAGGGTTTTTGAGTTGAAAAAGTCGTAAGATTAGGGGTTGTTTACTTTGGAGAGCCGTACAAAAAGGGCTTGTTGTCTTTGGTGCATGGATGCTTGTTCGGGAGAGACAACTGGTCGAGGCTCAGTGACTCAATGCCGCTGAAATCAGCAAGATAAGCATGTCGGTGGCCAGGAAAGAAGTTTAATAAGCATTACAGTAGGAATAAGCAATCACTCTCAAATCTACCTTGTACACTGGCGCAGCGCAGAGATAACGTTTTAAGAATGCGGTATCGTTTTGGCCATGTCAAACGACGAGGAGTGCGGTTTTCATATTTATGTTGTGGGGGGGAGGGGCGGGAGGGGCGGCGGGGGGAGGGGGAAGGGGGAGGGGGGGTGGGGCCCAAAAAAAGCTTGGCGAGCGGTTTTGGCTTGTTTTGCAGCCTCACCGCCTCAAAGCCTGCGCCCCCCCAGCCCCACCCATCCCCATCCTCCCCAACCTGCGCCGTCTGCGTCCCCCGGCCCCCACGCCCCACCCATGTGCGTCCCCAACCTGCGCTCCAAGCCCCGCCCCACCCCGTCTGCGTCCCGACCTGCGCCCCACGTCCCAACCTGCGCCGCAATCCACCCCAACGGGTAGGTAGGTAGGTCGGTAGGTGGGTGGGTAGGTAGGGGGGGTGCCTCGGGAGTGCCTCGGTCGGGAGTCGGGAGTGCTTCGGGAGACTCGGGAGTGCTTCGGGCTTCGGGAGTGCTTCGGGAGTGCCTCGGGAGTGCCTCGGGAGTGCTTCGGGAGTGCTTCGGGAGTTCCTCGTAAGTGCTTCGGGAGTGCTTCGGGAGTGCCTCGGGAGTGCCTCGGGAGTGCTTCGGGAGTGCTTCGGGAGTTCCTCGTAAGTGCTTCGGGAGTGCTTCGGGAGTGCCTCGGGAGTGCCTCGGGAGTGCTTCGGGAGTGCTTCGGGAGTTCCTCGTAAGTGCTTCGGGAGTGCTTCGGGAGTGCCTCGGGAGTGCCTCGGGAGTGCTTCGGGAGTGCTTCGGGAGTTCCTCGTAAGTGCTTCGGGAGTGCTTCGGGAGTGCTTCGGGAGCGTCTCGGGAGTGCCTCGGGAGTGCCTCGGGAGTGCTTCGGGAGTGTCTCGGGAGTGCCTCAGGAGTGCCTCGGGAGCGGCTGGCCGAGTTTTCAGCCGCTGCGGGATGGGAGAGGGGTACATGCAGGTAACAAGCCCCCCTCTCCCAGAAAGCAATTCCCCGGGCCTCGCCACACGGTTCGGCCTCCGACGGCGGTTGAAATTACCTAGTAGGGTCGTGGAAGTGGTAAACTTTTTGGCGCTGTTTCCGGGTGGGTGTCCCTGTTTTTACTTTGAAGAGGTTGAAAGAGACAATGAAAAGGGACACCTGTACACAAAAATAATTGCAGCTCGGACTCCAGGTTTTCGAAAGGTGCCCCTCCCCGAGCCCCGGTCCTGCCCCCAGCCCCGCCGTATGTATGTATGAATGTATGTATGAATGTATGTCTGTATGTATGCATGTTAGGGTTCGGGTTTAGGGTTTAGGGTCTAGTCCAGGGTTTAGGGTTTTGGGTTTAGTAAGTAAGGGTTGAAACCCTTAGTACTAAAATGATAACCGAAAACCCTCAACCCTAAATACTAAACACTAAACCCTAACTAAACCCTACTAAACCCTAGACCCCAAACCCTAAACCGCAGTAGCCCTAAGCCCCAAACCCTAGTAGCCCGAAATTCTATAGTTATAAACTGTCTAATAACTCTATCTCTACTCAGCGCCTTGGCTGTTGAAAGTTGCCCTGTGGGTGCCGCTGGCCCATGTAAAGCCGAACCTGTTCGTACGCCTGAAACCTTTCCAGGTTCCAACACCTCACGACTTGCTCCCATCCTTCGCCTGTAGAGCTTCCGAGCCACTCCCGAGAAAATCTCTCCCGAGCCACTCCTAAGCAACTCCCCAGCTACTCCCAAGATCAAACACATCTTCTTCTTTAGATGGAACTCCTACCCACCGTACACCTGAAACATCCCCTGATTTAGGGTTTCGGGTTTAGGTTTCTGAGGGTTTTGAGGGCTTGTAGAGGATTGTCGTAGGGGTTGAGGGGCTGCATGTGGCTTCGTTTGCCAGGACCCTCCATGTAAAGATGTGGCATGTGGCGGCCTGTTGTGCAGAGAGCATGGCTTCTGCGTTTGAGGTCACTTGCGCATCGCAAAGTGTACCGATCAAATTGGCTATGAGATGCCTGTCACATAGCTATTTACTCTGTTCTTCTATGACTCTCTCATTGAGTTATCATAAGACGATAGTATTGCATTGTTATAAACTAGTCTAGTCTAGCTGAAGGCAAACATTGTCGGTGCTATGGAAGCACACGTGTACCTGGCAAGAGCCATGCATGCGCTGCTTTGTTTCCGGCAACCTGAGCAGCATGTACCGAGCCGTACAAGTTTCAAAAGAGAAGGACCTTGCATGACATGGGAGTTTCCGAAAATGGAGGAACCCTTTTGGGGGGTCCCTTGAAGGGGATTCTCTTCTGTTTGGGGTTTCCGAAGTTCGGGGTACCTTATTGGGGCTCTGATTAGAAGGGAATCCTACCATTTGGGGGACTCTATCTTGGGAGTCCCTTGTTTCCACACCGATGCTGTGCCTAGGATGCCCCCCGATTTGCTGTTTGGAAGCTTCCCGGAGTTGCCACGAGAGGAGTTTAGGGTTTAGGGTTTAGGGTTTAGGGTTTAGGGTTTAGGGTTTAGGGATCGCAGGAAAGATTGCTCAACCCACGTCACGACAGTGCTCGCAATCAGGTGCCATTCAAGTTGCCTTCGCTGCCTGGTGCCCAGCATGCCTCGATGGACTCAGGAGCAAAGAGTGTAGAACCTCAGTGATGTGGGGCTGCGTGGCAAGGAGCAGGTTGTGCTGTAAACACTAAAATTCTGAGCCCTAAACCCTAAACCCTACACCCTAAACCCTAAACCCTAAACCTCAAACCCTAAACCCTAAACCCTAAAACCTCTACAAGGGGAAAGGAGGGGTCCACAGGCCTCGGACGTACTACTGGGGCAACGAGGAGCCCAACACCGTGCAGGACCGGCGCGGCCAACAGGTTTAGGGTTTAGGGTTTAGGGCTTAGGGTTCAAAGCTGGATCTTACGACTGCCATTACCAGGATGGGCTCTTTATGCCTCAGGATCCCTCAAAAAGGCCCTTTACAGGGTTGATTATGGGGATTATAAGGTTTGATAGCCCATCCTATTGTTCCGGTCACGTTTCCCCCCTCCCCCCCCCCCACATTGCAGTTCCATTTTCGGGTTGCTTCCGAGTGTGGCTTTTGTTTGTTACTTTTGGTGGCTTGTCTACCATGTTTTGGGCTTCCTCGTCTCAGCAACAAATGAGAGCAGTGCAACACAACCATTGTGGTCAGCATTCCTGCCACCACCCTGTGAGTATCCTTGGTTGTTGATGAATGCCGTGGGCACTCTACGACGGTTGTTGTGCTAGCTGGTGCAGTGCCTAACACTGCCAAGATGACGACGGTTCAAAAGAACAAGACATTAAGTGTCACCGCGGCCCAAAACCGATGACAAATGCTCCAAAATGTCGAACCCTAAGCCCTAAACCCTAAATCCTTATGAGGGCCGAAGCTTGAGATCATCATTCTGGAGGGTGAAGAGCTCTCGAATTATTCTTCTCAAAAGCCACTGAACGCAGTACGTCTGCACCCAAGCTGGGTAGCCCAGGGCTACCCTTTTCTCATTTTGTTGGTTCAAGGTTCCCTTATAGAAGTAACCAAAGGTGCCCCTTACTGTATTATGGTCACTGGGCTACCTCCGAAACCCCTTAATGAAGGAACATACCTTACATCATATGCGGGTTCCTACTATAATTTAAGGGCATATTCCTTCATTAAGGGGTTTTGGGGTCTCTGGGAAAGGAGACAGATGGAAAGAAGTGATGTTGGCTCAAGGTCGGAGGCGCGCAAGGCATTAAAAAGCGCCTCCCCTGACACTCCCTAAACCCCAAACGCTAATCCCAAAACCTTAAACCCTGATATAATAGCCTAATACCCTAAGTACCCCAATACCTTAATTTCCCTAATTACCCTCCTCATACCCCTAATGCTCTAAACCCGAAACCCGGACCGAACAAGAGAGGCTTGTCCCTTCCAGGAGCGACGGGGCCGCCTCGAAGAGTTCTTGCGGCAGCTCTTCTATCAGCCCCCTGGCCATGGTTTAGGGTTTAGGGTTTAGGGTTTAGGGTTTAGGGTTTAGGGTTTAGGGTTTAGGGTTTAGGGTTTAGGGTTTAGGGTTTAGGGTTTAGGGTTTAGGGTTTAGGGTTTATTTCAAAACGCCACTCGCAAATTTGAGTACTCCTTGGGATGTTGCCCTTAAACTAACTGTCCTTAATGGGGCTTATCATAGGGGCGTACCAAATTCCTGCTAAGGACTGTCAGTATAAGGGGGAGTATCTTACAGTTCACCAGTATTTCGGTTCCGTTCCGCGATCTTCTGGATGCTGCCCAAAGCAAAGCCAAGGCCCGAGATCCTCTCCGACAGCGAGGAGACGCTCCTACGATTCCTCAACATGCACAAGGCCTCTGATGACGATGATGATGATGATGAAGATGACGATTATTTTAGATATGATACAAAATAATAACGATGTCGTTTCTGTTGCTTCTGATGATGCGAGTCGTCATCGGAGTACCGAAGCACCTGCAGTACAAGTAGCAGGAGCAGGTAAATGAACCCTAAAAGGGTTTATGGTTCGTATACCTTAGAGAATTATAGTAGTATAGGGTATATGACCCCAATTTTAGGGCTCATGTCGTCCCGAAGGGGAGCAGCAGCCCATGGTAATGTACCGGGGGTCGACCCCCTAAACCCTAAACCCCAAACCTCAAACCCCAAACCCTAAACCCCAAACCCCAAACCCTAAACCCCAAACCCTAAACCCCAAACCCCAAACCCTTGCGATGAGGCTGCCAAGGCCGCCGTCCGCTTCCTCGCGGCGCCCGAAAACGCCAAGGCGAAGTGGCTGCCACTGCCCTGGTGGAACCCTACCTTGGGGACGACATATGAACCCTAAAATTGGGGCTATGCTACTATGATTCCGCAGTTGCTTTGTCTGTTCCGACGAAATGAACCCTAAAAGGGCTTAGGGTTCATATTACCCTCTGAGGAGTTATAGTAGTATAGGCACAAGGGCCCAAGGGCCCAAGGGCCCAATTTTAGGGTTTCATTTTCGTCCCCAAAATAGTCAGTGCCTCTGACACGGTGTTGCCATTTTTTTGTTGATGACGTCAGGATAGGGTTTTGTTGCAGGTAAACTGAAAGGTCTGATGCAGGCATTGCAGTGGTCGATGCTTGTCGTCCTCCCTGCGCGAATATTCTATGCTACTATAACTCCGATTCAGGTATATCAACCCTAAACCCTAGAACCTAGGTATTGGTTTGACATGACCTCCAAACAAGCCGTGGTATACTTGAATCATTACCTTGACCACTCCGCCAACCCTGACCTCGAGGATTCCCGTAGAGATTTCCTGGGTGTAAAACACTTGCTACAACGCTCCCCACAGTTTCGTGTGTGCTTGGAGACTGCGCCAACGCGCAACCCAGAGATTTTTAAGATTTCCAGCAAGACAGTCGGAAGCGCACGGCAGCCGTAAAAAAAAAAAACCTAAACCCGAAACCCTTTCCTGCGAGAATATCCCTGCTTTCCTCTTGCCCTGGGAAGGGTCACTCTGGAGTTGCTCCGACGGGCCCTTGTGGATGTTTACAAAGAGCCTTCCGCAACTCAGCCCTAAACCCTACACCCTAAACCCTAAACCCTACACCCTAAACCCTAAACCCTAAACCTGTGAGACCCCATTCAGGGGTCTCACAAAGGCAAAGCCTGTACGAGACGACCTCCGAGCCGGAGGGCTTCTTGCCCCTGCAGGCCCTGCGCGCAGATCGGGGTTTAGGGTTTAGGGTTTTGGGTTTAGGGCCTGTTTAGGGTTTAGGGTTTAGGGTTGAGGGTTTGCTTAGGGGTTAGGGTTCAGGGTTTAGGGTTAGTGACCGGATGTTTGTTGGTCGTTACTGACTTTCGCTGTTGCAAGATGCTACACTTAGCTATTGCGAAGTGCGGACAGGCCCCTAAACCCTAAACCCTAGACCCTAAACCCTAAACCCTAAACCCTAAACCCTAAACCCTAAACCCTAAACCCTACATGGAAGTTCGCCGCCTGGTGAGGACCAGAAGGTGGAAGCCGTGCTTCTGGCTGTGTTACAGGCAGCTTGCAAGAACCTTGGGGACGAAATGAACCCTCAAAGTGGGGCCATATACCCTATACGACTATAACTCCTACTAAGGTATATGAACCCTAAACCCTTTTAGGGTTCATTTCGTCCCCCAAGGAAGTCAACAGGTTTGCTCCCGCAAGTCGAAGCTATTTTCTTGTGGAGGATCCCCGAGTAAGGGCCTTTCTCTGCCCAAATTGGCTCTCTCAGACTCATATTGTACATATATATATATATGTATTATATACATATATAAAAGTAGATATAAAATATATTTAAATTAAGAAACTCTGCATGGTGTATTGCATGATGTGTCTCGTACATGGCATTTTGTAACTCTCCTCAGGACACGGGTATTCAGAGGCCTCGGGAAACCTTCCTGGTGTGCGGAGCCTACAGCGAGTCATAGAGAGTTTAGGCCATGTAAAGCCGGATGCGGAAGAGCAGAGAAAAAAGCATTTATAACTACACTCCTAAGTGCAGCCAGATGTAGGAGGGACTGGGTGAAATGTTGCGAGCTTGATTGTCAGCGGTTTCCCCTCCAACCCAAACAATTTTCTCAGAAAAGCCGCTGAAGCTTCGGGCCTTTAGGGTTTAGGGTTTAGGGTTTCGGGTTTAGGGTTTATGGTTCCGGGGGCTCTGGATGATTCCGGTTCACCCGAACAACACTTTCAAGTGCACCAGTGCAGCTCGTGTGCTACGCCCTTGGAAATTGTTTGAGGGCCTCACTTCGTAACCGAGTCCAGGTCGAGTTTGTTCTGGGGGGTTGGGGGGAACCCTCAAACCCCAAACCTTGACATGTTCCCCCTTATACTAACAGTCCTTGATAGAGATTCGAAGAGGGGGTACCATAATCCCTATTAACCCTATTAAGGACTCCTCAGTATAAGGCGGACATCCTAGCCCCCAAGCCCTTATCTGAAGCCGGATGTTTCAGGCATTGCTTGCTGGCTCTTAGTAGGGAATGAGGGAATGAATGCCCTGCAGAGTTTTTTTTAAAGGGTATACTTCCCTCATTCCCTACGAAGAACCAGGGGTTTTGGGGCTAAAGGGGCCCGAGGCGGCCTTGAAGATTCTGGCCCTAGGGCTCGAGGGCTTTGGGTTGGGATGTATCCCCCTCATACTGACAGTCCTTAATGGGGGGCTATCATCCCAGTTAAGGACTAAGGGGGGGAACTTCCCAAGCATTGGGCCTTGTGGCCTTCCGCTGTTCCCTTGGGATCCCCGGCCCCGAAAACTCCGCACTAGCTCCGGTAGTTGGGTCGCTGGAAAATCACAGAAAAGTGGTAGGGAAGCCCTCAACCCCAATGAAACCCTAAACCCTAAAATGGTGGGCCTTCCATGCGATATCGCAAGCATCACACTTTGGCGGGATGCCCTGAGGGCAGGAACAGCTGCGTGAAAGCCGGAGAACTCAAAACCCCTCAGCAAGGTGATAAATTGAATCCGGAAGACTCGTCGACATAATGTATATATATATATATGTATATATATATATGTATATATATATATATAATAATATTAACAATTATAGTCGTAATAATTGTATGTATATATATATATATATTACATGACATTTCATTATATTATATTGTATTATACTGTATTATATTGTATTATACTGGAGTATATTGTATTATATTGTATTATATTGTACTATATTATATGATAATATATTATAGTATATCAAATGAAATAATATAATATAATATGATATGATATAATATAATATGCAACATAACAAAACAAAACATAACATAACATAACATAACATATCATAACATAACATAACATAACATATATACAGACATATATAATGAATATTTGAAAGAGCTGCCTTTCGGGTCCATTTGGCTCATGTACGTCTTCTATGTATAGAAAAGAGTTTTCAAATACTTGAAATAGCGTAAACAATCGAATACTTCACATGGCTTCATTTGAATTCGTTAAATTACGTAGTACTAAATCCGAAACCGGCTTGTACGGCAAACTAAACCCTAAACCCTAAACCCTAAACCCTGAACCCTAAACCCTAAACCCTAAACCCTCCGCCGAGGTGCGAGCTCCTGGCGCGCGGCTTCCGCAGTGGTGGCGCGCCCAGCCCGCGGCGAGCTGCAGAAAGCCTGGAGCCCTGTTTTTTTTTTAGGCTTCACAGGGTTTTTAGGGTTCATAGGGTTTTTAGGGTTCATATGGTTTTTAGGGTTCATAGGGTTTCCTTGGTTTTGTAGGCTTCACAGGTTTTTTCGGGTTCATAGGGTTTCTTGAGTTTATATGTTTTATGGGGTTTACGGGGTTTCTAGGGTTTATAGGTTTTAGAGGGTTTATAGGGTTGGTGGGGTTTATAGGGTTGATAGTGTTCGTAGGGTTTATATGGTTTAGAAGGTTTAGACGGTTTTTTTGGGGTTTTGGGGTTTGGGTCGTAACGTTTAAGGTTTAGGATTACGTAGGAGCCCAAGTACCTAATACGGTATGAAAGCTACACATAATACCCATTCTGAGTCAAAAGGCCCCCTGTGCTGGACATGTTCATGTGGGAATGCCTCGGGTTACTCTAAAAACTCTAGCAGCGCCCCTCTTTGCCATGACTGTTTGCACCACTGCACCATCTTGCGCTATACCTTCTTTGGGGACTAAATGAACCCTAAAAGGGTTTAGGGTTCATATGAAGTAGGGTTTATATTTCTTGTGCTCCCTAAAGGACACCGAATGTTTACACTCACCAGTACTCAAAACGAACCTTATATACACTCACCAAAAACAGTAATATAAACCCTGCTTCATATACCTTAATAATAGGCATTCAAGTAGTATAGGGTATATGATCCCCAATTTTAGGGTACATGTGGTCCCCGAGATTGGGACCAAACGAAGCCCCAAATTGGGATCGTGCACCACGATCATCCCTAGTGAGGGTATATGGACTCCATACCCTAAACTTTGAACCCTATAACCCCATAACCCTAAAACCCTAGAACCCTAGAACCCTAGAACCCTATAACTCTAGAACCCTAGAACCCTATAACCCTATAACCCTATAACCCTATAACCCTACAACCCTATAACCCCCGAGGTCAGGCAGAAAAGCCTCTAGATCTTCTGAGCATGGCACTTGGCGAAGCTACGCAGGGTTTAGGGTTTAGGGTTCAGGGTTTAGGGTTTAGGGCTATAGGGTTTAGGGTTCAGGGTTTAGGGTTTAGGGTTTAGGGTTTAGGGCTATAGGGTTTCGGGATTTGTACGGAGGGCCAGCTGTGCACGCTCTTTTGCCCCAAGTTGTGGATACAGCGACTACGGATAGCTACTATTTCAGCTTCCCGCAGATCTCTGTGACGGCATGTCAATAGCCTGTAGATGGCAGATGCCTGAGACTCACACTGGACAAGGCCGACAAGACACGATGGCTTTCAAGACTCACAGCAAGCAGCCAGAAACCGCAGCTCCCAGGCACGACAGCTGCATGTCGAGCCAGCGAGGCTTTGACGGCCAAAGACATTTCGGATTTCCAACGTGTGGTCAGAAAGATAATCTTCCAAGAGTACATGTGTGTAGTGACACTGCAAGCGTTTCGACCGTAGGTTTAGCGCATACGTCCTGCACAAGTCCTGCGAGATCCCGCGACCCTTTGCCGATTTGTGGACAACAGTGTTCGAGAAAAACGAGAGCCGTGGGGACCAAGTATGAACCCTAAAGTTGGCGCCATTAGTACCCTGAATACGATAATTCCTATAAAAGGTATGTGAACCCTAAACTCATTCAGGGCTCATCTAAATCTAGTCCCCAAGGAACGGTGGGCCCTCAATTCCTTGAGTGACAGGTGCGAGCGCTGCTCAAGCTGCTGCAGCCTACCGGGCCAGAAGACGCGGCAGGTGATAGCAAGGCGATGGGCGCAAAAACGTGTGCAGAACGCAGGCGACAAAGAAGGTCACGCTCCTTGATCCGGGCAATGAGCGCGCTGTGCTGTGTGGTCATTGCTGCAACGTTGCAACTGTTTCGGCAGAGTTTCTGAACAAGCTGCGAAGTAGCACATGTCTGCGAATCAGGGGGCAGAGGAGTCTGCAGATGTCGGCGTCGGCAGGAGCTCGTCACTTCTTGCGAGTGTTCCAGCCATGTACCCCGACACTGCAGTTCGGGCAAACTCGTACTGCAGCGATTCAAGTGACTTCCTGTAGGAGCCGAATATTGGGGGGGTTTTTACGAAAATAAGAACCCCTCCCCAAATAGAAGGATCTTATCATCAGGACCCCAAGAAGGTGCCCCCTATTGTCGAGACCCCCCCATATGTCATGCAGGATAAGCCCGGCAGAAGTGCGCATTTCGGCCCGGAAGGCGCGCCATTGCAAAGCCCTCGACAGTGGTTTCGGGTTTAGGGTTTAGAGTTTAGGGTTTAGGGTTTAGGGTTTAGGGTTTAGGGTTTAGGGTTTAGGGTTTAGGGTTCCCTGAGCATAAAAGACGAAATCGCGGTGGATTTAGAAGCAGGTGTGGTTCCGCCCTTCTTGGACTACCTGCTTTCACTTCCCTAAACGCTAAACCCTAAACCCTAAATTGTGACGCACTGATGCCCCTCGCAGGCGCTGCTTACCCTGGCCTGCGCCCACCGGGGTGCCTTCAGCGCAACCCTGCTCGAGTTCCTCCAAGATCCAGGCAGATTCCACGGGTTACGGGTTTAGGGTTTAGGGTTTTAGGGGCTATTTTACCCTACAACCCCCTTAAACAGGCCCTTTTTTCGGGTTGGTTAGGGGGATTAGAAGGCCTAATTGCCCATGCTGTGGGGGTTGCCGAAATTAAGGATACCTTGTTGGGGTCCTTATTGTCAGGGAATCCTACTATTTCGCGGGGCCTGCTGGAACCCTATTGTCATAAGGCTCCCATATCGGTAGGGCTTCAAGCTGCGGCGCATGCACTTGCTTGGAGTCCCCAAGTATCCCTAGCCACAAATTGTGCATCATCCATGAATTTGCTGCACGAGCAACTGGAAATGTTGATCCGTCGAGCCGGCGGACAATATTGCAAGACAGCACCGTTCCCAGCACCTCCGACAGCTGAATTCACGTCCAGCTCGCCATATGTCTGAAGGCCATTTTGTATGGCAGGTCGTCGTGCACATGTTTGTTTTTTTCCATTGATTTTGCATTGTTCCCATAGTCATGGACATGTGTACACGGCTGTACACAATCTAAACCTTCATTAAAAGGTGATCACATCTTCATCTGTATATATATATATACACATATATACACACACTGCAATTACAAACGCATGTGTATGTATATATATATATGTAATATAATATATGTGTGTATACATACACATGCACATATGTATGCATATAAGTACACGTATGCGTGTATGTTATACACAAATGAACTTGCGACATATCTTGAAGAAGGATGCCCTGTCGCCCTAAACCCCCAAGCCCCAAACCCCAAACCCCAAACCCTAAACCCCAAACCCCAAACCCTAAACCCTAAACCCCAAACCCTAAACCCCAAACCCTAAACCCTAAACCCCCGCGCCCTTTTTCTTCTCTCCTGAGCGACGAGGAGCGATCCCTGAGCTTTTGGCGGTGGGGACGGCGGCGGGGGAGGAGGCAGAGGGCAAAAAGCTCGGCAGGGGTTTTTATGGGGAGCTTTTGTAGTAGGGTTTGGGGTTTAGGGTTTAGGGTTTAGGGTTTAGGGGTAGTAGGGGCTCTTAGGGGCTTCGGATTAGTTTGAGGGGGTCTATGAGGTTCAGGGTTAGGAGCTAGGAGTTCTCTAAAGGGTTTATGAGGTTCAGGCTCTTCGTGGGGGCTCAGTGATTCGGAATTTTTTCCCCGCCTATCGGGTGTGGGGTTGTTAGATTTTACACTAAACTCTTCTCCTGGCCCGGTCTGCTCCTCGCCAATCACCCGTATCTTTCCCCGAGTATCTCCAGAGAGGCCCTCAAGTGCCCAACCCCGAGTGCCCAAGAGTGTTTTCAGAAAGTCCCTGGAGTGCCCAGCTTTCAAAGTATGACCGGAAGACTATCCCCATTAGAGTCCCTCGAGTGCCCAACCCCAGAGTCTCCAGCAAAAGAGTATCCCTGGAGTGCCCAACCCCCAGAGTCTCCCGACAAGCACCCAAGAGGATTTCAGGAGTGCCCAACCTCAGTGGGTATTTCGAGATCCATGAAGAATCCTGCAGTGCTCAACCCCAGCTTATCTGCGGAGAATCCCTGCAAATTCCTTGCCTGCAGGGTGGGGATGTTCGAAGTAAAGTAATTTAGAAGGTTTATGAAGTTCAGGGTTAGGAGTTAGGATTTCTAGAGGGTTTATGAGGTTCAAGTTTCGGATTTCCAGAGAGGGTTTATTTTCAGGGTTCAGCGTTTGGGACATGTCGCCAAAATCTAGGAGTTGAATAGGTGCAGTTTAAACCGGAAACCCTGCAACCCTAAACCCTAAACCCTTGTAGGGGTTCCGATGCTCCTTCCTACGACGCGCTTTTGGCAAGGGTCAGCGTCTGGTGGTCGAGCTGTTGGTGAGAGGCTTTGACAGCCGCGCCCCAAGTGGCTTGAAGGGGCTCCTAGGCAGGCTTAGGGCTTGTATCAAAGTTTAGGGTTTAGGGTTTAGGTTTAGGGTTTAGGGTTTAGGGCTTCTAGATTGTAGGGTTTGTAGGGTTTCTAGAATTTCTGGGCTTGTAGGAGGGGGGGGTTTAGGGCTTGTGTCAAGGGATGAAGACTCGTACACCCACAAGGCCCCTAAAGGTTCCCCTAAAAGGGTCAAGGGTGCAACCTGAAGGGTCCAAGGTAACACCCCTAGATTGTAGGGTTTGTAGCCTTGCGAGCATCTAGGAGGGGGTTTAGGGCTTATGCACCGGGGGTTAAGGCTGTTAAGGTTGTTTCTTACGATTTGCAGGGGCTTGAGGGTTTCTAGGGTTTAGGGTTTAGAGGGTTTACAGGCTTGATAGGGTTTATCGGGTGGAAGTGGCATCCAGTGGCCCAAGTCGGATCGGCAACACGCGCCTCCCCCGCACACTCGCGAGGTCCCGTGGTGCAGTGCTTTGCCGACTCTGCCTTGGCGGGGGACAGGCTGGGACTCGAAATTCGATTGACTTAGCCCTAAATGCCCCAAACCCTAAACCCTATAAGCCCTATAAGCCCTATAAACCCTAAACCCTGAACCCCAGAAGCCCTAAAACCCCCTAAGCCCTAAGCCCGAAGCCCTAAATGTCAGACGTTGCTTCTCGACAGGAAACGCTTGCTCAACCAACTCTTCATGTCCCGCCCTGCCCTCAGAGCTTCTTGAGGGTTTAGGGTTTAGGGTTTAGGGTTCAGGGTTTGGGGTTCAGGGTTTGGGGTTTGGGGTTTAGGGTTTAGGGGTTGGAGAGGGGATTGCGCTGTGCTGAGCTCCTCTCAACTAAGCTCTGCCGGCCCTTCAGGTGATGCCTTCGTTCGGGTCACTGTGGGTCCGGGGCTTGGCTTGTCCTTGGGGACCACATGAACCCCAAGAGGGTTTAGGGTTTAGGGTTAAGGGTAAGTGTTAAGGGTTAAGGGTTTAGGGTTTGGGGTTTAGGGTTTAGGGTTTAGGGGGTTTCGGGTTCATACCCCTGAATAGGGATTATCGTCGAAAAGGATATATGCCTCCCCAGGCCTCCACAGGTGCTGGAAATCGTCGGTTTGCGGCCCAGAATTAGGATCATCATACCCATCATGACCCTATCATGACTATAATAACCTATAGTTTGGGTAGATGTGCCAAAGACCGTTTAGGGGGTTCATTTCAACCAAAATGTTGGACCCCTCCAAGTTTGATGTAGTTCTGGATGCATTGGATGTTGCTGATGGCGTTGCATCTCTTGAGGCATCCTTCTGGCAGCTCTGCTTTGTCACGAAGGTTATGGAGAGGCAGGGGTTTAGGGTTCAAGGCGTATAGGGTTAATGAGCGTGGCTGTAGCTCTGCGTTGTGGTAGTCCCTTGCACTCCCCACACCTGGCCAGCCAAACTTGTCTGCGTTTGGTGAAATCATGATGAGCGCATCTCGGAGAATGTTCTTGAAATATTCCTTCCTGTTATGTGAGCCACGGGTATACGCCCCTACGTCCGCAAGGGTTTTTGGGATCGTGATTTTGTGAAAGCGGAAGGCTGCTCAAGCAGAAGCCGGCATAGCGGCTGTCAGCGAGGAGACCTTGCAGATGTTTGAGTCTCATGACTTCCTGCAACTGTCTCCTGATTCTCCCAAGTCCCGTCTGAGTAGATCAGGCGCCGGGCTTTGTGTTTTGGAGTCAGACGTGCACAAAACCGTCATGTTATGCCATCTTGCTCTCGGCCCCCTTCCCACTTCTTCCACCCCTATAGCTCGGTTCGCAAGCGACTTCTTTGCTCCACCCCTCAACCCTCAACCCTCAACCCTAAACCCTAAACCCTAACCCCTAACCCCTAACCCCTAACCCCGAAACCCTAAACCCTAAACCCCCCCCCCCCCCCACTCTAGAGCCTCTTTGCGCAAATGCGCCGTGCGACACCATGTCAGGAGTTAGAGACCCTGAGCCCGGCGCAGCACGGGACCAAGCCCTCCTAGGTAGGACACGGGGACCCTAAACCCTAAACCCTAAACCCTAAACCCTAAACCCTAAACCCTTAGAAGGGAACCCTTCTTAACCCTCTTCGGCTCACTTCAACAGGGACCTTCTTCAGAGGGTCTATCTCCCCAGGAGTCCCCCTAATCCTATCCCCTAAGCTCTGAAATGGGGTTTTCGAAAATAGGGGTACCCGTTTGGGGGGGGGGGGGGTCCTCCAAAGTGGAATATAGTTTTTGGGTGTGTATATCAGGGGTACCCCTATTTTTATTTTGGGAAATGCCCAAATGAAGGTGCAGTTGACTTGTGTAGCCAACGTAGCCTCGAACTTGCGTTTAGCAACGATGCCGACATGATGCTCACACTCCTTAGTAGCTGAGTGAGTACACATACTCCCTGATAGAACTGAAAGTGTACACTTTTTGGGGGCTTCTGAACTCAGCAACTAAGACTCAGTTCTCAGGTTTTTGTTTTGAGAAGAGACGCTGTTCGCGCGGTAATCCCGGTGGGGGGCGCGCATGAAGCCAACACATTGGAATTGGAATGTCGGAATTGGTGTGCCGAGGATTGATGCTAAGCCCCAAACCCTAAACCCTAAACCCTAAACCCTAAACCCTAAACCTCTGAGGCTTGAGGGCGTGGGGGCGCAGGTGGGGACGCAGGGTGGGGCGCAGGGGGGGGCGGGGGGCCAGATCGGACTTTGGAAGCCTCCACTGATTGGGGCAGGTCTTTTCCCACGGAAGACCCTGAAAAACTCTTTGGAAATCCCGAAGAATCAGCACTAAACAAAGCAGGGTTTAGAGTTTAGGGTTTCGGGTTTAGGTTCAGGGTTCAGGGTTTAGGGTTCTAAAACCACTCCAGCAATCCCAACCCAACAAAAAAACAAGCACTGAAGATTGAGGCCGCTTGAGTCTGAGTTGGCCGATCTTCAACGAGTGCTGGCCGAGGCAGGGGTGCCTTTAGAGTTGTTCAGGGGTTGTAGTTTTTTTTTTTGCTTTCGCGATTTTGGGTTGTTTGAGAGTTTTAGGCTTTGTAGGGTTTGTAGTTTTTTTCGGGATTCTTGGGGGTTTGGAGGGGTTCGTAGATGTGTTTCAAGTTGTTGCCCTGTCAGCCTGGCACAGGCTGGACGCCTGTGTTTCTTCTCTCAGCCTCAATACCATGAAGTTCTGAGTCGTGGGACATCTGAGATATCAGCAATATGACAGTAGCAATGGAATGCAGCACTTCGTCATGTTGCAGCCTGAGCTGGCTACTAAGACTCTAGGGGTCGGAGTCATTTCTCAGAGTGCTCCCTTATATGGTCCCTTTATAAAAATACGACAAGAAACCCCCCCCCCCCCCCGTTTAGGGTTTAGGGTTTAGGGTTTAGGGTTTAGGGTTTAGGGTTTCTACATAAGCGGCCAGCGCGCCGCGAGGAAGACTGCTGGCTTTGGCTTTGCCGCCTCGCCGCCGTGCGTCGCTGGCCAGCTGCCCGGGCCCCTTTTACCCCTTTTTTTGGGTTTAGGGTTTAGGGTTTAGGGTTTAGGGTTTAAAGGTTCCCGTATAAAGTACGTAACCAACCCAAAAAAGGGTGCCCTTGTTACCGTATGGTTACTGGGCTACCAGGAATGAGCCCGAAAATTGGGGTCAGATACCCTATACCTTGGGGACTAAGTGAGCCCTAAAGGGATTTATGGTTCATATTACCTTAGTAGAAACTATAGTGGTTCATATTACCTTAATCGAAACGAAAGTAGTTCATATTACCTTAATAGAAACTATAGTAGTCAGGGTGTCAGCAAGCATCCTTCAAAACCCAATGCTTGCTAGCCCAGTGGTACCCTTTGGCCTTTTTTGGGTTCAAGGTTCCCGTATAAAATAACCAACCCATAAAAGGGTGCCCTTGTTAAAATATGGTTACTGGGCTACCAGGAGTGAGCCCTAAAATTGGGGTCACGTACCCCTATCCTTGGGGACGAAATGAGCCCTAAAGGGGGTTATGGTTCATATTTTTGTAGAAATTATACTAGTCGGGGTATACGACCCCAATGTTCGGGTTCGTTTGGTCCCCAAGGATACGACCACAAGTCTTATTCAGGCATTGGGCATCGGACAAAACCAAAGTAGATCCGACCTTGCCTTGGCGTTGCATGCATTCTGGTTGTTTAATGCTTTTCCTCGAAGAGAGGCAGGGTCCCAGCCCAAAGCGATACCCCATACCCTAAACCCTAAACCCTATACCCTATACCCCATACCCCCATACCCCTATACTCGAAGAGATGGCGTTGTAGTCGGGGGGCGATAATCGACCAAGGTCCAGAGGGGCCCACGAAGTCTGTTGCGCAACATTCGACAAACGCACGGTGTTGTCAGCCG